CAAGCCCCCCGACCAAGTACTACCAGCGCATCGGCTTCGAGCCCACGTCCAAGGCCTGCACCAAGAAGGACCTCGCCATGGAGGCGAGCATCGGCGACGTGGCCCAGCTCGCCCCGCCGGCGTGGCTGCGCGGCATGGCGCCCCAGCCGCTGCAAGGAAGAGGGGGTTACCTCGGGCCCCCAGACGTGCAGCGCAGAAGCCCAATATCTTCAAAGTTGGGTTCCCTCTGATTCTTTTGTAGACACCACCGCTCCAAACTCGTTAGGCATACCCGAAACGACCATACGCAAAACGACGATACCCGAAGGGACCACTCTAAACTCGTTTAGGCATGCTCAACGCACTAGTGCATCGGATGCCAACGTAGACTTCTTACGCACGCTCAGCGCCCCTTGCATGCCCGCCTTTGCTTACGCGGGACTGATGTAGCCGCCCAGAGACTCTGGGCCAGAGTCTTAAACTCTGGGCCAGAGTCTTAAACTAAGGACAGGGGGCCCAACTGTCGAGCCTGTGTTCCGACACGTGCTTCGCATCACCGCTGCCCACTCTTTTCTTTGCCCCTGGCCTCATTGCTTGGCGCGTGCCCGTGGCACGGGCACACCGCCTGCGGGATGGGCAGGATGTGGTTGTGAGGGTAGGTTTATTGGGTTGCGGTGACCACACCGTGTGGTGAGTCAGCGTGGATTCGGGGTCACCGCGCGGTTTTGGAATTTGAGTCGCTCGCCGACGATGTCTCGAGCGGCTGTTGCCTCCAGGGCCCCCCCAAAATCGTGCGCCGTGCCGGGCCGCGCGGTGCAGTCTTTGGGGGGGTTCTGAGGTCGCCGCGCGGTCTGTCACCGCACGGTTTTGGGACCCCCACAGACCATTGGGTGACAAGACTCGAGGAGGAGGAGGGGGAGGAGGAGGAGGAGGAGGAGGACCAGTGTAAACCCAAGACTCATCAACGATGTTGGAATCAACCCTCCTTCCAAGCTTCCTTTCATAGGCCCCGACAAGGGTTCATTTCGACTGAGGAAATTGCCTCGTTGGGAGACCACCGTTTGAAGACTCTGAAGTGCGCCAATTCACCATTCTCGGGACTCCAATGCCACGAGTCAACCTGATTGTTGCGTCTTGACCGTCCTGAGTCGTGCCAGAAAACCATTCCTGGGACGTCAACACATCAATGTAACTATTGCGCTCTCACAATCCTGAGTCCTTCCAAATTACAACTTGTGGTACGTTGACAGTCGGAATTCGTGAAACTCTTGCAACTGTTTAAGACGAGTGTGCGCGGGGCTAAGGCGAGAGCCACATTTTCAAACGGAGCCGCCATCACTCCGTGAAACTTCTGCACATTTTTAATCCGAATGTGCGCGGCGCTTAGGCGGGAGCCACATTTTGAAAACCGCCCGCTCTCAAGCCGTACATTTTCGGCACATTAAGAAAGCGAATGTGCACGGCGCTGAGGCGAGAGCCACATGTTTGAAAGCCACCCGCCCTCACTCCGTGAAGCTCTGGCAGATTGTTAAGACGAGTGTGCGCGGCGTCAAGGCGGGAGGCACATTTTGAAACCCACCTGCCCTCAATCTGTGAAGCTCTTGCTCATGTTGAGACCGAATTTGCGCGGCGCGAAGGCGAGAGCCACATGTTGAAAGCCACCCGCGCTCAATCCGTGGAACTGTTGCCATTTTTTTAGCTTCAGGTTTGTAAATGGTGAGGAAGTCTCAGGCGAAACGCCTGGCCCGTCCTTTCGACCGGCCTCGGGGTGCGACAGCGACGAGTTATTTATAAGGAACAAGAAAGGAGGAGGAGTAGGAGGAGGAAGAGGATCAGGAGGATCAGGACGATGATGATGATGATGATGATGATGATGATGATGATGATGATGATGATGATGATGATGATGATGATGATGATGATGATGATGATGATGATGCTGCTGCTGCTGCTGCTGCTGCTGCTGATGATGATGATGATGATGATGAAGATGAAGCTGATGATGATGATGATGGTGATGATGATGATGACGATGAAGATGCAGATGAAGATGAAGATGAAGATGTTGTTGATGATGATGATGATGATGATGATGATGATGATGATGATGATGATGATGATGATGATGATGAGGAGGAGGAGGAGGAGGAGGAGGAGGAGGAGGAGGAGGGAGAGGGGGAAATGGGAGAAGGGGTGGGGTGGGAGAGGGCTGGGGCAGGGGGTGCGTACCTTCCAGAGTTCGCTGGCCAGGACTTGCTGGTGCATCCGGTTGCATGAACGAGCTCCGAAGGGGTGAATGCAGAAATTGCAGCCCTCGAAGATTCAACATCAATAATATTTCATGAGCAAGCTGCAAATAGTACAAGTCCGCCAGAGGGTCCACATTCTCAGCTGGTTGCAGTTGACTGCCGATTAGAATACTGCGTCTCCGAGGTGCCGCCCGCATTCGACGCCCCTGCGTGGCTTTGGTCCCAGGCCAGCTGCGCTGTTACACTTGCTTGCCGTCAACGCATCTGTACGTGCGCATGTGTGTTTGCGTATTATGAGTGCATGTTCCGTATGGTTGCGTAAGTATGTGTACACTCGTGTGCTGACAATAGTGGTGGGCGTGGATATCTTGCCTCGGCGCTGAGATCGTCCTGCTTCTCCTCCTCCTCCTGCTCCTGTTCCTGCTCCTTCCCCTCCTGCTCGTTTCCCTGCTGCTCCTGCCTCCCCTCTTGCTCCCCCTCCTCATCCTCCTTCTCCTGCTTCTGCCGCTCCTCTTCCTCCTTCCGCCTCCCTTCTTCCCTCCTCATCCCATATTCCCTCCTCCTCCTCCTCCCTCCTTCCTCCTCCTCCTCCTCCTCCTCCTCCCTCCATCCTTCCTTCCTCCTCGTCCGCAGCAGGCTATCGAGAGCGGAGTGGCGAGCGAGGCCACGCCGCCGAGAGCTCTTGGCCTCTCCCCGGGGCTGCCCCGCGTCTTCCCTCCTGCAGCTCGCCGTGGGGTGGAGGCCATCTCGGGGTCACTTCGGGCCGAAGGTATGATCTCGGAGGTCGTTTTTTTTGTTGTTGTTTTTGTTTTCTTCTCTTTCCGCTGGTGATAGCTGGCGTGACTGGTGGGAGGGGGCCAGTCACGTCACGATTCGCGCCAGCGCCGTCTGGGAACGCGTAAGGTTGGCCCTTTCTTGGACGGCGCTGGCGCGAATCGTGACGTGACCAGGGGGGGGGCGTGGGGCCAGTCACGGGCGTGATGGCGAACGATGAAAATCGGAGTCTTGTACCCCTTCGCGCCAATTATTCAACTGCGTCGCGCCTCTTGTCCCATCTGCTTGTGGGGTCGTGGAGATTTGAAACTCGCTGGGTGGCAGTAGTGTCACCTCTTGGATTTCCCACGGTCCATCCTGGGGCGCTGTGAAGCCCACAGGTGACGGAAATGCGAGAAAGCCAACGTCTCGCACCACACACGTTTGACTTCTGAAAGCTGTTGGCCTCCTGGACGCGTCTTAGGGGCTGTCTTGGATCATCTTGGGCCGCCTCGGGGCTGTTTTGGGGCCTCTTGGCGCTCCCTTTGGGGCCTCTCGGATGATCAGGGGCCATCATGTGGCCTTCTACCCCTCGGTGCCCGCTCTGGGGCCCCTTTGAACTATTTTGTGGTCCTCTTCGAGCTGAGTTGGGTCCCTCCTTGGACGTTGTCCTGGGGGTCATCGGGGCCCTTCAGGGCCCCGGTCGTTGGCATCTTAGGCGATCTTGGAGCTATCTTGAGGCTTCAGGGCCCCATAGGAAGCGGAACAACGAGAAAGCAAGCCAGAGCGGTTGAACAAGGAGGCGTCTTGGGGGCTGTCTTGGACCATTCAGAGCCGACTTGGGGACTCCTGGGGCTGTCCTGGGGGACTCTGGGGGCCTCCACCCGTTGATCCCTCTCGGGCCGCTCTTGGGCTCTCCTGGGTGATCCTGGGGCTGTCTGGGGGGGTCGTGAGAGCTGCGCCCAGGAGCACAACACTTTCTGATTCGACCGCGCCAGGGCCCTGCCAGAACTTTGTCGGGGTACTCGTCCTTCGGGGACGCCTAGGGGCCGCCACACGCGCGCGCTAACCAGGAATGTAAACATACTCTGCATCTCTTACCGTATATTTTCGCATGCCTTTGTCCCATTGGACTGGCGAATATGGTCGGGTGACTTTTCATGCAGCGGCGTGGCAGTCAGCGGCGCAGGTGACTGGTGCGAGCGCCTCCGACATTCTCTGTAGGGGTACGAGAGTCCCAATGCACGAGAGCAGGTGGTCATTCGTCAACAGGCACGGGGTATTTCGGCCATCCCGCCCTCCTCAAGCCTTTTTCCGCCTCCCGCTCCACCTTCCCCTGTCGGTCTCGGGCTACAGCCTGGACCAGCTCTTCAACTGCATGTGCATATCCTGTGAGGCTTCGCCCAAGCCGTCCATACTGTCGCCCCCCCAGCAGTCTCAAGCAGTCTCTCCGCCTCCGTCACCTCCCCGTGCTCTGGTGCCATTGCTTCCTATATCCCGCCCAGGTGCCTCCTCCCCTCCTTCTGCTGTTCCCTCGGTTGTCCTTCTGCTGCTCCCCTGTTTCTCTTCTCTGGGCGAACGGGATGCGGACGCAGCGCGGGCTCGCCCCAGCCAGAGCCTCGCTTCGTCGGAGGCCCGCTGCGCTGGAGCCTCGCTTCTCCAGAACTGGCTTCGCCAGATTCTCGCTTCGCCGCCATCTCGCCTGGGCCCTGGACCCGCTGCGTCGGAGGCCCGCGCCGAGCCTCTCGCCGCCGAGGCTTGCGCTCTGCCGGAGCGTCGCTTCGCCGCCGCCTCGCTCCGCCAGCGTCTGCCGCGGGCGAGCTCCGACCGGCGGGCGGGCGAGCCCTCCGGGCGGCCGGGCGGTCAGCCCCGTTCTTCGTTCCTGCCTCGCCCGACTGCGTATCACTCACCGGGTGAGGTGAGCGAGCGGAGCGTTTGTGATATGCGGTTCTTCCTTGCGTGCTCGATCCACCCTGTCCTCCTCCATCCTCCCTCTCCTCCATCCTCCCGTCCTTCGAGATGCGCGTGGGTCTTGGATGCGGTCTCTCCAAGGGCGCGATCTTTCACGTGCCGCTTCAACCGCAGCTTCTGCCTGGCCGACTTCGACGACGTGGTCCAGGAGCTGCTTGATGACGCGGAGATCCAGCTTGGGCGAAGCGCCAAGTCATCGAGCGCAGAATGGCAGGAGTGGGCTACCCCGACGTTTGCAAAAGGTGCTGGTGCTGCTCGTCGTTTTCTCGGATGCAAAGGCTGCAAGAGTCGTTCCAGTTCGCTGGTCGACCCCAGCCATTCCAGATGGCGGACGACTGCGTGGGGGAGCGGGGGGGGGGGATGTGGAGCATGCAGGGGTGCAAGCCTGCCCCCCTGCCCGTCGGTGCCCGGGACTGGGGGCCGCTCCCCGAGCTCGCGTGAGACATTGTTCAAAAAGCAGCGCCCTCTGTTCCAGGGACGCCAGCCCTGGGCCAGTTTGGCTTTAACCTGAGGGCCCTCGTGGCCATGTCTGATGCAGGCCTGGTCGCCGTTGCCCTCCTCCTCTCCACTTGTGAGCGCCACCCTTCCCGGCCTCTCGAAAGACTCCGGAGTGCAGTGGTGTGGCCCGCTCAGGCCGCAGGAGGCCACCGTTTAATTGCGCTCATGTATTCGCTGGTCGACCTCTGGGGGCGAGCGAGGAAACCCGTCTTCAAGGCTCGGGGGCTTGCTCATCGGGGCGTCCCTTTTCTGGGGCAAGACACCTAGGGCTGGCTCGTCAGATGCCGCCTTCGATCATGATGTGGGGGCGGAGGTGGCGACGGGGGTGGGGGAATTCTCAGTTGGCGTGTTTAAGTGCTATGGTCGTATCGTCGTCTGACAATTTGGCTTCCCGTTGCGGATGATCTGGATGCCCTTGTTTTGTTCAGGCTTCCGATTCCATGTCCAGGCATGTCGCCGTGCGTCTGGGGAGCTTGGCTGGATGCGCCCACGCGAACACTATGATGCGCGTTTCGTTGTCCTGTGTGATTTGCCGGGATGCGTGAAGTTTACCCCGCGTTGCACCCGCGCGTTATCATGAATGGGTTGAGCTTCCAGCGGGTAGGAAATCGTTTGTCCCAATCTGATATCTTCCTCGCTGCCATCGGGTGGTATTGTGCTCAGGTGTATAAGGTTGGCATGAACTTGCCAGCGCTCAAGAGTGGGTGCGTGCCTTCTGCTGCGAGAGCGTCCTCACATCTGTCGTCGTCCGCGCGTGTCCTCCCATTGCGGAACCGCGCCCGCGTGGGTCCTTTTGGGTGCGTTTTGCTTATTTTCGTATGTTGTTTGTATACATACGATACCAGAGACAAGTCCCAATCACAGTCTTTTTAGGGCTATAGGGCAAGGGGGCTATTGGGCTATAGGGCGATGGGGCTATGGGGGTATAGGGCTATGTAATTATAGGGCTATAGGGCCATGAGGCTACAGGTCTATAGGGCTAGGGCTATAGGGCTATAGGGCCACAGGACTGTAGGGCTGTAGGGCTATAGGGCTACAGGGCTATAGAGCTATTGGGTTCTAGGGCGATAAGGCGATAGGGCTATGGGGCTATAAGTCGATAGGGCTAGAAGGCTATAGGGCTATAGGGCTATAGGGCTATTGGGCTATCGAACTATAGGGCTATAGGGCTGCAGGGCTGTAGGGCTATAGGGCTATAGGGCTATAGGGCTATAGGGCTATGGGGCTATACGGCTATAGGGCTAAAGGCACCCGGGCACCCGGGCACCCTGGCACCCGTGCGGGCCGCGAAATTTGTGACAAACCTTACCTAACCATGTGAAGCCGCTAGGGGCCCTACAGAGGCAAGCCCCGACTGGGGAAAGTATAACTGCCCCCATTAGTAGTATCCATGGTTTTGCGAAATAACCAATGATACCGGAAGCTCCTATCAAAGTCCTTTTAGAGCTAAATAGGGCGGAAGAATTCCGCAATCGGAACACGGGCTCGTCAGCAGAACGCGAGGCCCGCCAGCGGAACAGGGTGGCCCCTCAGGGGAACAGGGGCCGCGCGCGTCAGGCGAACACCTGGCGACCTTTGGCCGAACTCGTTGGCTTCAGCTCTGGTGCTCACCACTGTGCCTCGTCGTCTTCTGGGGGAGGGGGGGGTGCGATATGGAAAACTATAGGCTTGGAGTTCTAGGGGGAAAATGAGGGGGATGGGGTGGGGCCTGGAGTAAGGTTCGGCTTTTCTGCTCCTGTTTCTCATTCCCTCCCTCTCCTCCCTCCTCCCTTCTCCGCCCCCTCCTCCTCGGCCACGGGAACGAGTGGGTGGTCCTCGACCCCGCCGCAATGGGGGGACCCTGGGCTTCGGGGTCAAGGTCCATGATTGAGCCGCTCTCCCCCCTTCTCTGTATCCTCCCTCCTCTTCCTGATCCTCCCTCCTCCCCTCGCGTGCTCCCTCTCTCTCTCTCTCTGTTTTTTTTTTTTTTTTTTTTTTCTCTCTCTCTCTCTCTCTCTCTCTCCATTTTCCCCCCCCCCTCTCTCTCGCCCTGTCTTTTACTTTTGGCTTCAGCGGGCGATTTCCAGGCCGGCCCGCCGGAGTTGGGTGTTTTCGTTTCTTTTAGGTGCAGGCGCGACGCCTGCTCTGGGACCTCCCCCAGGATCTCGGTAACGAAGTTTTGTAGGGCTCGGATATAGAGTGCTCAGGATTCGCGAGGCCAGTCGCCGCACTGCCATGACATGTCTGATCGGCGGCGCCGTGTGGACGCCTGAGCAGCGAAAGTATGCTGCTGGCTTCTCTCCTTCGGACAAGTGCGTATTTTGCGATATACAGGTTGCTTCTCTCGGCCACCAGATGTGTGGAGTTGATTCGGTGCTGAATTGGTCGTCCTCCCAGGACCAGATTGTTCCAGAAGACGTGTACGAGCGTAGAGCGGAGCTGAGGGATCAGGATCAGTTTGAAAACGCCGTGCAGGTCTCGGATTCTCTGGAGCTTGTATGGGCTCCCCTGGCCCCTGTGGCTTTCGACCCTGTCCCAAGCCAGCTCCCTGTATGCTTGTGGGGTGAGACCGAAGCGCCGTGGGGGCGGCGCGTCTACGCCGACGGACGGCTCAGGGCTGGCTAACAACATCCCTGAGCTTCGGAGGTGTGGATGGGCCGTGGTGGAGGTCGGCCCTGGGGGGCTGCCCGTTCGCGCCCGATGCGGCGCGCTCCCTGATCGGGCCCTGTCGGTTCCTCGGCTGAGCGGTTTGCAGTTTTCCAGGCGGTTCGACTCTGCCCCGTGGACGTGGTGGTCGTGTCCGACCGCCTGAGTGCTGTGAGCAGGGGAAGGCGTGGGACTCCCTCGAGGAGTGGATGCCGCGGCGCTGATGTATGGAGATTTATATAATCGATAATAGTGCGTCCGACCCTATGCCCTCCTTTGAGTGGATCCCGTCCCCTCGCGTCTGGATGGAGGCACCAGTGAAAACAAACGCCTACATAGAACTTCGGATTCATGGACTAGGTGGGCTGGCCCCTGTCGTTCACATGTTTGCCAGGAGATCGCGGCAGACCAGTGCCAGACCAATGCCCCTCCTCTTGCCCCTCTTTCACCCTCCTTCTTCCTCCGCCCTCTTCCTCGTCGTCGTCGTTCTCCTCCTCCTCCTCCTCCTCCTCCTCCTCCTCCTCCCCATCCTTCTCCTCCCTCTTTTTGCAGTCTCTTCGCCCTCACCTGGCGAACGGGCGGGACGACCGAGACGGCGATGACGTTTGGACGGCGCCGACGACCCGCGGCGGCGGCGGCGACGGCGGCGGCGCACGCACCCCGCACGCGCCCGCTGCGCCCCGCGCGGCGCTGGCGGACCGCGGAACTGCGCGTGGCCGGTGGCGTGGCCGGAGGGGGCCCGCCTGGAGGCCCGCCGGGGGGGCCCGTCGGCGGCGGCGGCGACGCTGCTGCTGGCGGCAGGCGGCGACACGACAAGCGGCCGCCAGGCTCGTCCCAGGCCGGCGTTGGGGCCGCGCGCGGCCCTGAGAGCTCGTGAGCCGGGCTCGGGCGCCGTCGGCCGGTGGGTCGTCGGAGCCCGTTGTGCGCAGAGCGGGCCTCCAGGCAGCAGCTTCGGCCCCAGACATGGTGGCGTCGCAAAAAATTCAGGACGGGAGGTTTTTCGCTAGTTTCGGCCTTCGGGGGCCCTCGCCGGGCCTCGGGACCGTCAAAACACGGCTCAGGACGAAAAACCGGTCCTGGGGACAGTGTCGGGTTTTGCGGGGACGCCGTCCTGAAAAAATCAGGACGTCGCGTGTTTGGGGCTATGACGTCGGCGGGCTTTTCTTTTTTTGGGTCCTCCTGGGCGCCATCGTGGACCGGGTTGGGCGCAGCTCGAAACATTGGTCCAGACGGCGTCTGCTGTATTGGGGGCCTGGGCCCGGGACTCGTGTCGTCGAGCGGACATGGACGGGAGAGCCAACCCCCCAGGAGTTTTGAAAGTCACACCAGAGAAGAGCCCCATTCAATGGATGGTTTGAAACATTTGGCAGGTAATCGATGGTGAGATCGATTGAGTGAGATGGACGGTGAGATCGATCATGAGATCGATTGAGAGCTCGATGGTGATATCGATGGTGCGATCGATTGAGTGAGATGGTTAGTGAGATCGATGGTTAGCTCGATCGAAGGATCCCGAAATCGGTCCAGAACCAGCAAGTGGGAATCCGGGAACTTGGAACCGGGAACCCGGGAACCCAGCCAGCTATCGAAATCGGCCAGGGACTTTCGCCAAATCTTTCAATATCCGCTTGGACCCCTTCAATGCAAGCGCTGATAGAGAAAAACGCCGTTATTAACGGCGCTTTTCTCCAGGGGAGCCTGCCCGTCTTCAGACCCCGGGGCCGTCAAGAAGCAGTCCGCGTCCAAGGTCGGTCCCAGGCACGGGGTCGAGAGCTCTTCGGGCCCGCGCAAGGACGAGCAGCGACGTCGGGGGTCTCGGATCGAGGACGCCAGCGAAGACCATCGACGACGGCCAAGCTCGGCTTAGGCTTCCTGAGAAGAAGACAAAGTGGCATACACACAAAACAGCGAAATCAGCGCGGACTCTCCGAAAGTTAAATACTTTCGGAGGGTCCGCGCTGATTTCGCGGATCGGCGCTGGACCCTCTTGGCGGCGCCTCTGGGGGAGCTGCACATGGGAGAATTCGGGCTCGCCGATCACGTGGGGAAGCGGCAGCCGAGAACGGGGAAGCATTGGGGAAGCGGCAGCCGAGAACGTGGGCAAGCGCCTTTTTGGCTTCTGCTCGATTGCTGCCCCGCGGCCTTTTCAGCAGTCCCGACTCAAGGCATCATGTTATGAAGTTCCCGCGTGCAGATCTACTCTGGCAGCCGCTCGGTCGCTTTGCTTCTTCCCCACGGGTTCAAGAGCCCTTGGAGCTTACAAGCGGCGCTCTGTATTGAACTCGCCTCCGATGCCCTCGCTCTGGCTGCGCAGAGTCCCAGCCCACGCCCGCGAGAGGTGGCGCTGAAGGTGGCATCCTCCTGCGGCAAGATCGATATCGACATGCGCATGTTGAGTGCGTTCGACGTCGAGCTCGCTTGTGCCAGAGGACCTGAGCCCACGGGCTTTCTCACCCCCACCTTGCTCGCCATTCGGGCGGCAATCGCCTGGGGATCTGCAGTTGGCCGCGCCTCCTGAGAATGCCCCCCCGCGCCATTTCAGCCTTCGACCTGGCAGTCTCTCCGACTCCAGCTCCCACTGTGACTCTGGCTCCCATTCCCCCGAGTCCAGCGCTTAGTCGTGTCGATTTTCCGACCGTGGGCTCCGCCTCTCCGACTCCGGTTCCCATTTCTACGATTCCGGCATCCGATCTCATCTCTCCGATTCGGGCTTCGACCCGACTGCAGCCTCTGAGCTGCCAGTCCATCTTTTGCTGGCGCCCCGACGCCCACCCGCTGCACCCGCGTAGGTCCCTCCTGTGCGGGACTGTTTGTCTGTCAGTCTGTCTTGGGTCCGGGGGTCAGCAAGTAAAGCCACCGGTCAGGTCGGCCGCGCATCGCCACGGCATGCACGGGTTACTCGAGAGATGTTGCGGCCGCCCCGATCCCTTTACCTTCTCCTCCTTGTTCTTCTTCTTGCTATTGTTATTATTGACATTATTCATAGTCTTCTTCTTTATCGCAAACACAGTCCTAACAGTAGTATTACTCATCACCATTCGCATCACCATCATTATCATCATCATTCCAGTTATTATTATTATTGTTATCATTACTATTATTATTGTTATTATTATTATTATTATTATTATTATTATTATTTTTATTATTATTATTATTATTATGATTATCAGTATCAGCATCAATTTAAATATCGTTAGCAGTATCCTTATCACTATCGTTATGATTACCATTCACATCATCAGTGTCATTATCAATATCATTTGCATTCTCATTATGGTTATCCGTGTCATTGTCCGTATCGTTCTAATTCATGAGCGCCATCATCATCACCATCACCATGATCATCCTCATCATCATAATCGCCATCATCCTCATCAGCACCACCTTCATCATGATCATCATCATCAGCATCATCATCACCACCATCATACATTACTCGACGCGGAGATTCCCATATGTGCATCTCATAGTGATGGCAAACTTCGGTAGAAGACATGGTCCTTTTCAACATCAGAGTGTCAGCGACTCCAGGTGAAAATCGAGGCCGAGAGAGACGCCGACGACTACGACGACTTTAAGTAGTTGCTTCCTCCTTCCGTCCTCCTCCTCCTCCTTGTCCTCCTCCTCTTTCTCCTCCTTTCCTTACAAACACCTGTCAGGAAAATCCATCCGTGAAGACGAGAACGGGCCCGTGCAATACCCCCTGGCGCCCCCCCCCCACTGGGAGTGCTGAAACCAGCGCCTCGCCTGAGATATCCTCGGAAACTGCTCCGAAAGAGAGGGATATTGAGCACCCAAACAGGCAAACCGCCTGAGACATCCCCCCAATCTGGGCGCGAACCGGCCCGTGAAATATCCCCTGGCGTCCCCCCCTGGGAGTACTGAAACCAGCGCCTCGCTTGAGACATCCTCGGAAACTGTTTCGAAAGAGAAGGATGTTGGGCACTCAAACAGGCAAACCGCTTGAAGCCCCCCCCCAATCTGGGCGCGAACGGGCCTGTGATATACCCCCTGGCGCTTCCCCCCCCCCCTGGGAGTACTGAAACCAGCGCCTCGCCTGAGACATCCTCGGAAACTGTTCCGAAAGAGAAGCATGTTGGGCACCCAAGCAGGCAAACTGCTTGAGACATCCCTCCGGTCTTGGCGCGAACGGGCCTGTGACATCCCTTGGGAGTACTGAAACCAGCGCCTCGCCTGAGACATCTTCGGAAACTGCTCCGAAAGAGAAGGATGCTGGGCACCCAAACAGGCTAACCGCCTGAGACATCCCCCCAATCTGGGCGCGAACCGGCCTATGATATACCCCCTGGCGCCCCCCCCGAGGGAGTATTGAGACATCCTCGGAAACTGCCCCACAAACGGAGGATGTCGGGCACCAAAACAGGCAAACCGCTCGAGACATCCCCGCCATTTTGGTGCGAACGGACGAGTGCAATACCCCCTGGCGGCTCCCCCTGGGAGGCGAAAGTGAGCGCCTCGTTCGAGACATCCTCCAAACCTGCTCTGAAAACGGAGGATGTCGGGCACCAAAACAGGCACACCGCTCGAGACATCCCCGCCATTTTGGCGCGAACGGAAGGGTGCAATACCCCCTGGCGGCTCCTCCTTGGGGGCGAAAATGAACGCCTCGCTTGAGATATCCTCCAAATCTGTTTCGAAAGCAGAGGATGTCGGGCACCAAAAAGGCAACCCGCTCGAGACATCACCGCCATTTTGGCGCGAACGGAGGAGTGCAATACCCCCTGGCGGCTCCTCCGTGGAGGTGAACATGAGCGCCTCGCTCGAGACATTCTCCACATCAGCTCCGAAAGCGAATGATGTCGGGCACCAAATCAGACAACACGCTCGAGACATCCCCGCCATTTTGGCGCGAACGGAGGGGTGCAATACCCCCTGGCGCCCCCCCTTGGGGGTACTGAAACCAACGCCTCGCCTGAGACATCCTCACACCGTGTGTGTGTAAGTCTTAGCGCGGAAGTACCAGGAGTGTGAGTGAGTCTGCATATGAGGGATCCCGTGCATGAGAAACTTGATTATCAAGAATCTAAGAGCGAGTGTATCTGAGTATGAGTGAGCCTGAATATGAGTGAGTCTACACGCGATTGAGTCAGATAATGATGACTTGAGGGTGGGAGGTGTTGAGGATGGGGTGTATGTTCTCTCTCGCGTTCCGCGTTGTCTAAGTAAGTAATGTACACTGCGTGGAGCTCCCCATATGTGCATCTATTTTCATGGACTGGGTGTGAGTGAGTCTGAGTATGAGTATGATGAGTACGAGTCTGAGCACAAGTGAGTCTGGGACATCCTCCAATCTGCCCCCCCTCTGGGGTGCGAAAGCCAGTGAGTCTGAGTATGAGTATAGTGAGTACGAGTCTAAGTCTGAATGGGTCTGGGTACGAGTGAGTTTGACTACGATTGAATCTGAGGGTGGATGGGTCTGAGTGTGAGTGATTCTGAGCGTGAGTAAATCTGAATGTGATTGGGTCTGAGTACGACTGAGTCTGACTACGAATGAGTCTGAGGGTGGGTGGGTCTAGGTGTGAGTGAGTCTGAGTGCGGGTAAGTCTGGGTGTGAGTAAGTCTGAGTATGAGCATGATGAGTGCGAGTCTGCATATGAGTGAGCCTGAGCACGAGTGAGTTCGAGCATAAGTGAGTCTAGGACATCCTCGCAATCTGGGCCCTCTGGGAGTGCGGAAGTCGGCGCCTCGCCATAGACATCCTCAGAATCTGCTTTGACAGCAGACGAGTCTGACCACCAAAACACGCAAACCGCTTGAGACATCCTCGAAATCTGGCCCCCCTGGGGTGCGACAACCAGCGCCTCGCCTGAAACATCCTCAGAATCTGCTCCGAAAGCGGAGGATGTTGAGGACCAAAACAGGCAAACCGCCTGAGACATCCCCGCCGTTTGGGCGCGAACGGAGGCCGTGCAGTACCCCTGGTGCCCCCCCCCCCTTACGAGTGCTAAAACCAGCAAGCCGCTCGCGACATCCTCATCAATCTGCTCCGAAAGCGGAGGATGTTGAGGACCAAGACAGGCAATCATCCCCGCCATCATTTGGGCGCGAACGGAGGCCTTGCAATACCCCTGCTGGCCCCCCTTAGGAGTGCTAAAAGCAGCAAGCCGCTCGAGACATCCTCCTCCTCCTCCTCCTCCTCCTCCTCATCATCATCATCATCATCATCATCATCATCATCATCGTCATCATCGTCATCATCGTAATCATCGTCATCATCATCATCGTCACCATCATCATCATCATCATCATCATCATCATCATCATCATCATCATCATCATCATCATCATCATCATCATCATCATCATCATCATCATCATCATCATCATCATCATCATCATCATCATTATCACCACCATCATCATCATCATCATCATCATCATCATCATCATCATCATCATCATCATCATCATCATCATAATCATCAACATCTTCATCCTACTCATCCATCAGTCACCATCACCGTCATACTCACATCATACTCTCACCATACCATGGCCATCATCATGATGCAGAGAGGGTGCGAGGAGGGGAGGGATGGTCCGGCGCGGTCGGAGAATAAGAATAACCCCAACTTTTGGATATGTGGAATAACAAGAACCCCATCTTTAGGATATGGGGAAAATCGCTCCCTGGACCTGTCTTGGGGTGCGCTCTGGCCAGAACCTCCAGGAGAGCCCAGTCGTGGCGGCGGGGAGCTTCCAAGAGGTTCAGCAGCTTCGGCAACGTTCGAAGACCTCGGACCTCGATCCTCGTCGATCGACCACGGCGAGGGCCCTTCCAAGGATTCGGTTTCAGGCATCTCGAGGAAGTCTTATGGACTTCAGGGGGCACTGGGCATCCTCGGGAACCCTGCGGGTTTCCCGATCAATCCTGGCGGTTCCCCCCCAAAACCCAGAGCGATCCCGACGGCATTCTAGAGCATTTCTGCAATGCTATTCTCAAGTCAAGCAGTCCTCAGGCAGTGCTGCGCAATCTTGAGGTTTCCCCAGAGATCTCCAGATAATTTCTTGACTGGCCAGATCGGATTTGACCGTGAGCAGCGGCGGCGGGCGGTCCAATTGGTGCCATTTTGCGGCGGCCTCTGTCCTCACAGTGCCTCGAGACGCCACCTGTCTTGGAGGGAGAGCCCCTGCCGACGCGACGCAGCTGCCCCGTGCGAGACCCCGCCCGTTTTGAGGTTTTCGGAGCTCCGAGGTCTGAGGCTTCTCGGGTGTCTTCGTGGGCTCCCGGAGGCTTTCCGGCTTCCGAAAAGCAAGACGTAAACAGAAACAAAAAAGCGTCAACAAAAAACACGAAAGAGCAGGGGGAGAAGGAAGAACGTTCTTGGATAATTTGCGCGCGGGCTGTTTGGAAAAGAAAAAATATCAAGCTCCACCCGCTGCGCCCCGCCCTGGGCGCTCCGGGGGTGCTCTTGGCTCGCCCCCGCGGGCCGCCGGAGACCCGACGGCGTGGCCCGAGAGCCGAGCCTCTGCGCGCGCGCCGCCCACTGGCGCCGCGAGGCGCCGCGCCGCTCGCAGAGCGACCCCCCCGTGGCCGCAGCGGGCAGTGGCAGCTCCGCCGCCCCCTCCCCGTGGAGGAGGAGGAGGAGGAGGAGGAGGAGGAGGAGGAGGAGGAGGAGGAGGAGGAGGAGGAGGAGGAGGAGGAGGAGGAGGAGGAGGAGGACGAGGAGGAGGCGCGTGCTGCTTGCCGGGGGGTCCGGGGCCTCCCCCCCCACCCCCAGAGACACCGGCACCCCTGCCACGAGGCTGACTCGCATGGCTTACCTGGGGCGTCTCGCCAGAAAATGTCGCGCCTTGTTCCGCGTTTGGTCTGTTTGGTTGTTTGTTCCCCCCCTGGCGCTCTTCGACTCGCCGTGTAGGCCGCATCCGGCCCGCGGGAGGTGGACCCCGTGCTGGATGGCAGCCTTCCCGCTGAGGCGCGCCGCGTCCAGACCAGGCCCCACGGCCAGACAGCCCCCCCCCGGGGTGCTCGAGCCCCGATCCCGCGCGCCCGCCCGCCGCCCGCGGAGCTCGCTCGCCGGTCGCCGCCGGTTCCGCCCTTCGACGTCGAGCGGCGCCCCCAAGTCTTTGAACCGTTCTTCCCTGACTGACGGCGTTTCGCCCGAGGGTTCTCGGCGTGGTGAAGGGAAGATCAGGAGGGGAAGAAACACTTTTTTGATCTGTGGGGCGAGAGCGAACCTCTTCCGCAAAATGCTAGGCCGGCTACGCACAGCTAGGAGGGGAAGAAACACGCAGACAATTAATCGTCGATTCCCCAGAAAATATTGGAAATATGGGCAGTGGGGGGGGAAGACAGAAACCCAGAAAATATGGGAAAGTATGGATCATCTTTTTATTTGTGTGTATTTCTTTGTGTGTCCCAGGGCCCCTTCAGAAGAGGGCCCCGGGAGAGCCCCCACAGAGGGGGGCGGGGAGCCCGAGGGCCGCCTGGTCTGGCGGCCGTTTCGCCGGAGACTTCGCTACAACTCGTTCAGGCATCTTGCTCTCGCCTCGACGATAGTAGGGAGGAGGAGGAGGCGGAGGAGGAGGAGGAGGAGGAGGAGGAGGAGGATGAGGAGGAGGAGGAGGATGATGATGATGAAGAGGGGAGGAGGAGGAGGAGGAGGAGGAGGATGGGGCGGGGAGGAGGAGGAGGAGGAGAGGAGGAGGAGGGAGGAGGAGGAGGAGGAGGAGGAGGAGGAGGGACGGCCACGATCTCTCGTAAAAGAACCCGCTCAGGTGCACATGGCCGTGCTCACCCCTGTCCCATGTGGCCGGCCCCCTGCTCGACCCGCCTCTTCACTTTTGCTGCTATGGGGGTGCTTTGCCCGGGTACTTTGTTGTGTGGGGGCTTTTGCAGTGTACGGACCGCATCGAGTCATTTCCATTTCAATCTAGTTGTGCTGCTTCGAGATGCCCCGGGCGGAGTATTCTGTCGGTGTATATGCTTGCGTGGCTCATCGTTTTCATTCTTCTCCGGTGCTTCGTCGTCGGGCTCGTTTTCTCCGTGTGCAAGTACAAGGGGTGCTTTGCGCAAGGCTGGGTGATATCACTGTGTGATTGGACATTCTCATTCTCATCCTCTCTCCCCCCCTCCCCCCTGGTGCTCGGCCGCGCGCCGCCCGCCTGCACCTCTCCGGCTCCCCCCCCCTCCGAGCGACCCCCCGCAGGAGCCCTGCGGGTCCGGCCGGGGGCCCTGCGCGTCATCTGGTTGCGGGTGGCGCCCGAAGTGCAGCGACGGGCGGCGGTGTCGTCGGCGTCGTCGCCGCCGCTGGGGAGGATCGATGATCCAGGGTCTCGGGCGTTCGTGGCCCCCTCGGCCTTCGCGGAGGCCTCGTGGAGGCCTCTTGGGGACCGCTGGGGGCCTCTGGGGGGCCCCTTGCAACCTCCAGGGACCTGCGGAGACCTCGGAGTGCCGAGGG